ATATTTATGTTTGTGGTTGTAATTTGACAAAATATGGAAAAGTTCAAGGGGTATGAATACTTTTGCAAACCACTGTACAATAAAAACACTCGTCCAGTTTGATCCGTGTCACAAACAGCAGGTAGTCTCATGAAGAAAACGCCATAATCCACCGTCAGTTTCCTCCTTCACAGCTAAAAACACGTAAAACATTTCATCTGTTTCCTGATCGACGCCCACAGTTTTCTGTCCTGCAGCAAAACGTCTACAAGAAGAAGAAAATAAAACGACACAAATGTTGAATGAAGGGAGTCCGGTCAGACCCACTTAAGAGTTCAAACCTCTGCCCGACGGAACCAACAAGAAGGCAGAAAATAGTAAAAAGTCAGGGATAAATCATAAAATATAAATATATTGTAATAATAGTGTCTCAACAATAGTTTTACACCTCTCTGTTCACACTGGATTAAATGTTTCACATATTTTATTATTTTCTGTTTTATTATAATTAATATCATTTTTTCTGTTTATTCAGTCAGTATGTAACACAGCTGGCACAACAAACTGAAATATAACAATGTGCTTCTTTTCAGTTCAGCATATTATAAATATTAATAACTCTTCATGTTATGGAGAGAGAAATGTCCACTCATTAGTTAATGACTGGATCAATAGGCTCAATCAACTTTAGATTAATTCATTAAAGGGCCAATATTATGTGTTTCTCAGGCATATTTTTAAATACTATACCATAATAAAGTATCTATGTCACCTTTAGTTGTTATTAAAATGCTGTTTTTATGTTTAAATATAAAATAAACTTATCTTTTCATCACTTCCTCTTCTAAACGGTTTGAAATTGGTCTCCGTCTCTTTAAGAACCACCTTCCACACAAAATAGATATTTGGATCCTGGGGTTTGTGTGTGTGTGTGTGGGTGTGGTTGTGGGTGTAGGTGTGTGTGTGTAGGTGTGTGTGTTTTGTGTATATTAATTAACGAGGTTATAATTATTGTATGTATTAGGGATGCACGATATATCGGTATTGATATCGGTATCGGCCGATATTGGTCATTTTTTAGAATATCGTATCGGTCCGATATGTAAAACTGAGCCGATATTAACGTCCAATATTGATTTCCCACTTTTTATCTTTGTGTTTCTGTTTTAGGAGGGGAGATGGTTGGTTGAGCGGCATCTGTTTGGTCTTAATAGTTATATTGACTCTGCATAGCCAGGAATATGTGAAGTAGGAGCCATGTCAGAGGTCTGGTTGTTTATTTATAGTATCAAAAAAAGACCCAAGTGTGTTTGTGCATATATGTATAATATAATTTGTGTGTTTGTGTAATATCGGTAAATATCGGTGATCGGCCATAACAGCAATAATTATATCAGATATCGATATCGGCTGAAATTTTTATATCGGTGTATCCCTAGTACGTAGGTGTGAATGTGTATATGTGTGTGTATTTATATATGTGTGTATGGGTATAAGTACACACATCTGTTTAAGTTTGGTTGCTGGGTGTTTGTTCTCTTCATTTGCTGATGGTCAGATGTTGGGTGTGGTGTCCTGTGTGTTACTGGTGTTCATTTCACATGTTGTATAATTTCTATCGGTTTCCCTCTTTATTGTTCTTATATTTCTCTTCTAATTTTTCTTTTTTTTTCCTTACTGTAGTATTTAAAAAAAGCCACCGATGTTGCAGAAATTAAGAGACTAACATTCAGTTTTGTTTTCTACTGAAGTGGCAAAAAAACACCTTCTGCTTCTGTCCCGCCCATTTCAGTGGGGGGCGGGGGTCGCGTGTGTGCTATGATGCAGTTTAATTGGCGTCTGGAAATACATTTCCTCAAAGGTATTTTGAATCTGAAAAGAGCTTCACTGAGTGAGAAGTAGTGAGAAGAGCTCAGCAGACAGTTAAGTTTCACTTTCAGTTTCACCCATTGTTACTGCCAAGAGCCTGCAGGAGTCATGGGCGGGGTGTGTGGGGAGTAGGCGGGGCGCTGCGCCATGAGGAAGTTCAGCTTAAAGACACGTCCCAAAGGTGTTTCTGGTCCCAAAAGGTGTTTCTGGTCCCAAAAGGTGTTTCTGGTCCCAGAGGTGTTTCTGGTCCCAGGGGTGTTTCTGGTCCCCACCTGTCGTTTTGCTCCTCAGCATGGCTTCCTAAAAACGCTGCAGGATTTCTCAAACATGATGAATGAGTCAGAGCAAGGCTTTGGGCCTGTTTTTATGAGAGTATAACATTATAACATGATATAAAACTCTAAAAAGTTGGTTTTACATGATATTGCCTCTTTAAGTTTCATGACTAGTTGTGTAAGCAGACTAACTCCTGATGCTGTGATCAAACTGACTGCTCTCTCTGTGCAGCTTCACCACTCCAGAGAACGCGGGGCCGCAGTCTCGCTGCGGCCGCCGCTCCGACTGGGGCAGCCAGGTGGAGGACGAGGAGATGAGGAGGGACGTCCACAGAGACATGCAGCGGTAAGAAGACGTTTGTGTCGCACATCAGCTGTGTGTGTCTGTGTACCTGTGACTCACAGCTCACCTGTTCAGGTACAGGAGGAGGATCCTGGCTGCAGAGGGCCCTCAGAGGGAGAGGAAGACCTCGTCTGGCTCCTCGGGGAGGTGAGGAGGTGTTTCCTGCACCTGGTTTGTGTTTGTTTTCCTCCACTGGCTGTGAAACAACAGTGTGTCTGTGCAGCTGCGACTCCAGGGAGGGAGACAACATGGAGACTGACGAGGCCATGCTGCTGCGACGCCAGAAACAGATCAACTACGGGAAGAACACGCTGGCCTACGACCGCTACCTCCAGGAGGTTCCAAAGTAGGCGGAGTCCAGGTGTGGAGCAGCAGAGCGTCACCTGTTCACCTGCTAACCACCTGTGTGTTTCAGACACCTGCGGCAGCCCGGCCTCCACCCAAAGACCCCCAATAAGTTCAGGAAGTACAGCCGGCGCTCCTGGGACCAGCAGATCAAACTGTGGAAGGTCAAACTGCACGCCTGGGACCCCCCGGCTGAGGAGGGGGCTCCGGACACGTCTCTGAAGGATGACATGTAAGAGTGTGTGCAGGAGCTGGGGGCGGGGCTTTCAGTGAGCTGACGGCCATCTTTGTTTGTGTTCTTCCAGTGAGGAGCTGGATCTGGGTGACGTGATGGACATCGAGCTGGACTTCCCATCTTTACCAGAGACCCAGAATGCACCTGTGTGTGTCCACAGCTCCTCAGTACAGGTGAGTTCCTGCAGGACTGCACAGGTGTCACCTGAACACCTGCTCTGCTTTTAAATGTCTTTATTGTCCTGTTGTCTCGAAGTTCTGACCTCCAACAGTACTGGTCCCCGAGTATTTCTACTAGACTCAACCATTAATCAAGTATTTCTTCTACACTCAACCATTAATCAAGTATTTCTACTACACTCAACCATTAATCAAGTATTTCTACTAGACTCAACCATTAATCAAGTATTTCTACTAGACTCAACCATTAATCAAGTATTTCTACTAGACTCAACCATTAAGTATTTCTACTAAACTGAACAATTA